TAGAAGAGGCGTAAGCCATATCGCCGACGCAGTCCGGGTTATGAGGCCAAAACGCTTACCCAACAATTCCGACGATCTGGATCGCCTGCGCCAGCATAAAAAAATAGCCACATCTATGCTCACATGGCTAACTACCCACGACTACTGGTTCAGAGTGTGGATCGTACAAGAAATCGCGCTCTCACGAGTCGATCCCATCTGTCTCTTCGGCCGCCATCAAATTCCTCTGCTCTCGCTGGGTAGCGTCCTTGGAAACTGTACGGCGCCAGACCCACAGGCAGTACCTTGTCCGGCAATGATTGAGGAAGCCTCATATCGCGCCCAGGAGATATGTATGCGAAGATACGAGGCTCTTCAGAAGCCCACAGTGGGTGTAGCAAGCAGCCTGGAGCTCTTACGAGCGTTACAATTCGCTAGTTACAGGAACGCCAGCGATCCACGGGATCACATCTATGGGCTTCGCAGTCTAATTCCGGCAATTGATCAGACATGGATAAAACCAAACTACATTCTAACTACACGGAAACTCTACGCAGACGTTACTGGATTACTACTAGAGAGGAAGTGGTCCGTCAGCCTTCTCTGTTGTGCAGTAGGAATGGGCCACCAGCAAAACGGACACAACCTACCCTCCTGGAGCCTCGACTTCCGCAAACCGATGCCATGGCTCCCGTTTTCAAGCGACATTCTCGGTGTTCAAGAACATGAAAACAATGACAACAAGAGTACGGACAGACTCCACATTCTCCGTCTCTGGGGCGAAAGTCAAGGGGAAACCATCACTCGATTCATCGCCCCAAAAGACTACTCCGAGTTTGGACACATGTCTAACCCGGAGTCGTCCCGTCACGTTTCCGAATTTCTGCAAAGCAACATTTTTGAGCCGAACGAAAGATGGAGACGTGATACGGATGCTCGTACGGAATTTCAAGAGCAATACGCGGTCTTCAGCACTGATCAAGGAAGGATTGGGAAGTGTTTCAATCGTGTGAGGCAAGGGGATGAGATATGGAGTTTCGAGGGATCAGTAATCGCATTTGTACTAAGACCGTTGGCTGAATCTGGAGAACAGGAGGAAGTTGTGAGAGATAGGTATATTTGGGTTAGGTATAGATTGGTTGGTGCGTGTAAGTTTTTGGGTGAAGTCAAAAATACATGGGGTCTACCGGAGCGGGCGAAGAGGATGATTGAGCTTGTATAGGAGACGGCATCGTTCGCAAAGCCCACAACCGAAGTTATGCGAAGAAACTCATCAGGCACGAGCTTAAGAGATGGAAGGGTGGACGACTCGTGCCGTTTTCGCCGATCACTGAAGACACGCGCACATGTCGCGTGGGGTGCGCCTGCGCAGTCGATGCAGACAGCGTTGAGAGGTCCTGAGATAAGGATGGCGCAACTCTCTAGGCTACATCTCATGCGCAGAAGTAGGGCCTCTCTTGAGTTTCTCCTCATTCGTCGCAGTCGAGATATTGAATCGTGGAGAGTCATTCTTATCGTGGAGATAAGGGGCCCTACACTAAAATAGCTCCCTTGGCATGCTTCATCTCGTGCTTACTTCCTCCAACCACAACTCCTCAGCTGCATTTCGCCGTCTCGAGAAGGCTCCCGCAATTCCCTGCGTCTCCGTCGCAGCCACATGCGCCGTTATGTTGCACGCTCGATCGCCTCTGGGCAGCGATCGTAATTCCACGGAGCGGGCCTCGAAAGCCACAACACGGACCCGCTACAGCGAAAGAGGCAGGCGACCAATGCGCCCAGCCTGACTATCTTTTCCACTACAGCTGCGGCTACACCGAAGTGTCTAATTAGTCCTTTCGTCATGCGCCTATCCGGAGTCAGAGGACCTCGCTGCGAGACAAGTCTACTGCCGGTACATTCTCGTGTTCGTTGGCAGTCTGCGATAGCCGCTTCCTACGGGTTCCTGCAGGCAAAACAAAAGTAGCGACGCGTATTCCCTTCCTCCTCACGGGCAAGGCGACGGCACGCTACTTCAGGGGCTCCGCCGCCGTTGTCGTCCGATACCGCAAAGGTACTTTTGCCTTCTCCATGTGAACGCATGAAACATTCGTGATCTCCCGGCCCATGGCTCTATCCGGAAGGTCAGGATCGTCGCCTCGGGCACACAATGCACGATATAATGCCCAGACCAATATAACAGGGCCTCCGAAGCTTGCCTGCCTATTTCACAGTGTCGCCAAGCCTCCGCTCTGCTGTCTCCTACCATCGCGCCGGTCGACTACGCGTGCAGCCAGTCCGAGAAAGGCAGCCGGTGATCGTTCCCTTGTCGCGTGGACGGCCTACTAATCGTACGCGCCTGGTGTTGCATCAACCATTCGCTCCGTGTTCTCGAAAGGGTCAAGACCGAGTGTAGAGAGTCGTTCGGGGGGTAAATGTGGCGAGGCAGATGTTCATGTATAAGAGGAGTGGTATACTGTTTCAAAGCATTACTTTTGAGCACATCACCTGTCCCTAGTCTCTCATTTCTACTTCACTCGTTCCCACGATGCGTTCCGTACTTCTCGCGTCGCTGGCATCGCTGTCTGCCATCAGCGTCTATGGCCACCCCCACGCTTCATGGCAAGGACGCAGCACACTTACTCGCCGCGCTGTCGACTTGGACTCGTACCGCATGAAGCATGCTGCCGCCTACAAGAACGTGGCAGAAGTTGTGGCAGATCCCAACATCAACACACTTGCGAAGCGTGCTAGTGCGGAGGACGTTGCTACCGACCTGGTCAAGGCTACGATCCCAGATGCTACCTTCCGTCTTGTCAAGGACTCGTACGTTGGCGACAACGGAGTAGCCCACTTCTACTTCAAGCAAACCGCCAACGGTCTTGACATCGATACCGCGGACTTCAACGTCAACGTAAGTGAACAACCTCTAAAAAACGTATACTCTCCATGTTGGATATCGTGCTAATACCCCACAGGTCGGTCGTGATGGCAATGTTTTCTCTTTCGGAAACTCGTTCTACAAGGGTGCTATCCCAGCGCCGCCAAGTCTGAGCAAACGTGACAGCGCGGCACCCGCCAATGCGCTCAAGTCCGCTATCAACGTTCTTGGACTCCCAGTTTCCGCTGAGGAGGCTATCGCTGAGGCGAAGGAGGCTACCGAGACTTACGCTATCAAGAAGACTACCGGATGTGTCAGCGAGCCTGAAGCACGCCTTGTCTACCTCGTAGATGAGGAGGGCAAGCTCGCTCTTACCTGGAGAATTGAGACCGATGTCATGAGCAACTGGCTGCTTTCTTACGTCGATGCGGAAGATGGCGAGAAGGTGCACGCCGTTGTTGACTACTCTGCCGATGCTGAGTACAAGGTTTAGTAAGTAGCCACGACTACTATATATGATCGTAACTAACAACTTCTAGCCCCTGGGGTATCAACGACCCATTTGAGGGTGACCGCAAGCTTGTCGAGGATGACTTCTCTCCCGCTGCTAGTGAGTTCGGTTACCACAACGACGGCAAGCAGACTTTCAAGACGACCCGTGGAAACAACGGTATTGCCCACACCAACTGGGAGAACGTCAACAGCGGATTTCTCAACCTTCCCCGCCCCCAGAGCGAGGATCTGGTCTTCGACTACCCGTTCTCTCTTAACGACACCGACTGGATGGGATATGCCAACGCCTCCATCACCCAGCTCTTCTACACCGCCAACAAGTACCACGATGTTCTGCACACCCTCGGTTTCAACGAAAAGGCCGGAAACTTCGAGATCAACAACAACGGCGCTGGTGGTGCCGGTCAAGATTTCGTCTACCTGAACGCTCAAGATGGCTCCGGCAAGAACAACGCCAACTTCGCTACACCTCCCGACGGCCAGCCAGCACGTATGCGCATGTACATCTGGAACACGACAACCCCCTACCGCGACAGCAGCTTCGACGCCGGAGTTGTCATCCACGAGTACACCCACGGCCTCTCCAACCGTCTGACCGGTGGTCCCCTGAACGCTGGTTGCCTTTCTCTGCTCGAATCCGGCGGCATGGGCGAAGGCTGGAGCGACTTCTACGCGACCGCCATCCGCCTCAAGGCCGGCGACACCCGCAAGACCGAATACCCCATGGGCGACTGGATCAGCGGACGTCCTCTCGGAATCAGGAACTACCTCTACTCGACCGACCTCAACAAGAACCCCCAGGTCTACTCCGACGCCGATCTCTACGAGAAAGTCCACCCCATCGGCAACATCTGGGCATCCATGCTCTACGAAGTCCTCTGGAACCTCATCGACAAGTACGGCAAGAACGACGATTGGCTCCCCAAGCTCGACAGCAAGGGCATCCCGAGTGATGGCAAGTACCTCGCTATGAAGATTGTCATGGACGGCATGGCCCTGCAGCCCTGCAACCCCACTTTCGTCTCTGCCCGCGACGCGATTGTCGACGCCGACAAGGCGCTCACAGGCGGTGAGAACGTGTGCGAGATCTGGAGCGGATTCGCAAAGCGTGGTCTTGGTGAGGGTGCGGTTTACGCTCCTACCGGCCGCACGAACAGTTTCGATATCCCAGAGGGTGTCTGCGGTGGCGGCAACTCGACCAAGGCGATGAAGATGAAGATGCATAAGAGGAGGGTTCAGCCTGTTGAGCTGAAGTACTAGACGCATGGGGTTGGAGCATGGAGTGGAGTTTTGCATGGGATGTGGCGATTGTTGTTGTTGATGAGTGTATGATGATACCTGCATTGGGCGGCGTTTTAGAGAGGCATATACTGCTTCCTGTTTCTTTAATGAATAATCATTACCTTCCATCAAACCTCCCTTCCTGTTGACTCGATGGTCTGATACTATGCCGCTCTTGACACAATGACATTTAGTTCAGCCCACGTCTCGCAACACATACTATCTTATTCGTCCATGTGCTCTTGACAAGGGGTTTTAGCAGTCATCAGAAACGTACACACCCATTCACGCTGTCATACCAAGCTTGAGTGTACCTTGAACCGTAACAAGAACGTCAGTCCCAAGAAGCATTTCTGACGCCAGCCATTCCTCACTCCTCACTCGTACTACTCCCATCATCCGCAACCATACTTTCCGCCTCCTCTCTACTCTTAAAGTCGCCAAACATGAGATAAACCCCCGGCACCCCATACCCCTGCAACTCCTTCCTAACCCCGTCCCTCGCAGCACTCTTAACATACCGCCTCGCCTCTTGCCACAACCTCTCACTCCCCGCCAACGGCTCCTCCGCATACCCGATCCACTCGCCCATCCAAGCTTCCCTATCCCTCTCCATCTGCCAAAACGCCAATCCAGCCCTCACGTAAATCCAACCTACATCGCTGCCCTCCAGAAACTCCGTCAAGAAGTGTTCGAAATCGGGGTTTAGACTCTCTTGCAAGATTTTTATGCTGCGGAAACCCCAAAAGGCGGCTTCGGCGTACTGGCCGAGGGCGTTGTAGGCGGCGATGGTACGGGAAACGAGTTTGAGGCGCAGGACGACGCGGATAGTTATGCCGGTTTGGCCGGCGTAACGACCCGTGGTTATGGCTTCGTGGAAGAAGTCGTCGGCGAGGACGCGGCGGGTGCGGCCGGAGATGAGGATGTGGATGGAGTGGAAGGCTTTGTTGTAGAGGTCGAGGGCTTGTTGGGCGGCGGCGTGCTTTTCGTCGGCGGTGAGGGTGTTGGTGGGTGAGGGTGTCGCGGAGGCGAGGAGGACGTCGCCGGCTAGCATGTGGTCTGTTGCGTCTTCGACGGATTGGCGAAGTGTGGGTATGGGGATGGCTTGGAGGCGGGCGAGTTCTTCGCGGACGACGGGGTCGTAGCCGTGGATGTGGGTGCTGCTGAGACCTTTGACGTGTTCGAATGGGAGGAGGAGCTTGCGTTGGAGAGGGAGGGGGATGTTGTGGTCTTGCTGTTCTTCCCCTATGACTGCCTCGCCATTCTCGGCATACGGATCCCGCAGAACGAACGTGGTAGATAGCCGCTCGTTGAGCATAGGGTAAGACAACGCGCTGTAATACCACGTCTTCGTGAATAAGGGCAGATCGTCCACCAGCATCACAACCATATGCTCAGGTACTTCGCCATGGAACGGCGCGGTAATCTGCACAACAGCATGGAAATCGTTAAACGCATCGGCGCGCGCATCCGTGCAAACAATCGGCACAAGACCCTCGGAGGAAATGTGGTTAACTAGAACTACAACGTCAGGATATCAGCCATGCACAGCAAGCAACGAACAAAGACAAGGGAAAAGCTCACGGCGTCCTCGGCGACCGGTAAGTTCCAATTGCTCTGGCACACCATCCGTAGCCATTAGATAAACGCGATACATACCCGCGCTCGGCCAAGGAGTAGCAATCTTGACAAAGACGTTTTCTCGTCTCCATACTGTCTTCGCTTCGGCGTAGATTTGTTTGTTCGCGAGCCAGAGGTTGAAGTCCCATTGGTAGACGCCGCCATAGAAGCCTTTCGCTTCTAGTTCCTCGCTGCGGACTAGGTGATCGGCGGGCGTGAAGTAGATGGAGTAGATTTGTTCGCGGAGTTCTAGGGGGAGGCGTAGGAAGGGGAATGGGTTTGGTGTGGCGGCGGTGGTGGTTGTGTCCTCAGACATCGTGGGCGGTGAAGGAGGTTCTTGGGGTGGTTTGGGTTTGGAGGCGAAGGGGTTGGTTACGAGAGAAGTGAACTGGAACATGGTAGCGAGGGCACGCGGTCACAGAGCTTAGGTAGCTCTAGAGAAGTGTGGTACGGGCGGCTGGGAGATGCATGACGGAGGAGGAATCTGCCCCACCTTTAGCTCCGGTGTTAACGCCGCGGGCCGAGGCATGCAAGAAAGATGAAGTTTATCGCTGTTCGTTTTTGCTTCCACTCCCAAATCTAATGCTCAAGCAATGTTAGTCATGCGCCCGAATTTCGCGTATACTTGTGGCGGTGGTTTACCAGGCCGATCTGAAGCATTCGTTTCCATGCTCAACGACGGTGGCTAAGGTAACTGCAAACATGAGTGTATATGTTCTCGTCATTATTCCAACATATATAGTACATGTAGTAGATATCCAGGACACCCATCTCCCCGGGTGAAATGCTCCTGCCATATCCGCATCAGAGTGGAACAGTATCTTTTTGTGGTATCTTTCAAATCCTTAAACGTACAATCCGCAGCTCCTCTACCGTGTCTGGGTAGGTGGCACTCCCCCTTGGTGGCTAGCTGCTGCTTCTGGTGCACTCGCTGCTGAAGGCACTGTCGCGGTCTGAGGCGCGGAGTTACCTGCACCCAACCAACTGAACGCGCCTGCCTTCATATCGTTGAGCTGAGCTTCCTGCATCTTCTTCTCCTCTTCGGCCATCTCCTTGAGCCATTGCTCTCCGTTCTCGCGGATCTGCTTGTCCAGATGTACGTAGTTTTGCTTGTTGAAGTCACGGTACATGTCGATCATCATCTTGCCCTCTGACATGCCCTGACTGATGTTTTGGTCCCCGAGAACCATGCCTTGTTTCGGTCCGTCGAGACCCAGACTCTTCATGAACATGCCACCGGCACTTCCCTTGGTCTTCTTCTGCTGCTGCTCGAGGTCGCGCTTAAATTGTTCGCGGAGTTTGGCCTCGCGGCGGGCGTACTCAACGGGGATGTCTTTGCCTTCCATCGATTTGAGAACGGTGCGGACGTCGATTGGTGTACCGGTTTGAGACATCATGGCAAGGTATTCGAGGAAGGGGATCAGGGCTACGAGGCCCTTGTCGCCGGGCTCGCCCTTCCACTTGGGCAGGATGATGGCGTTTTCGGGTTGGAGCTTGACGTGCGAGGGGTCGGTGTCGATCATGATGACTTTGGAGAGGTCGCGGTTGAGGTAGGAGAGGTCCTAGGATGGTTAGCAGAAATCTTATAGATCGGAAAACAGACATACCTTAATGTACTCGCCCTTCTCGAAGCGGGTAGCCTCGCGGAACAGCGGCCACATGACGAGACGGAAGGGGTCGAGCTTGCGGATGATGGGGTCGGCGTCCATGGATTTGACGGAAGTGAAGATGACGAGTTCGTATTGCGAGCTGAGGTACCGTAGGAAGTAGTCAAGACCAGGTCGCTTCGCTAATCGGTAGCCGTGCTTGGTGGTCCATTCTGAGTGTAGCAGGAGGTCCTCCAAACTGAGTACCAAGGTAAGTTCTGGGGCGCCTCCAGGGATCTTGTCCTTGTCTGGTAGCAACTTCTGGAAAGTAGGCTCAGTGTAGTATGCCTTCTGGCCGTTGATGCGGGCAGCCGCACGGGCGTACATGCCGCCCAACGTCCAGCCATTCGGAGCATCGATGTGTGCGGCTTCCTCTTCTTCGTCCTCCCAGTTTCGGCCCATGAAGAGTGCACCCGTTGTGCCGAAAAGTAGCATACCGAGGTAGGACCAGTTAGCGACACGGTTCCGCCGCCTGTCGGTGCTCGTTTCGTATGCGGACTTGGGAAGTTCGCCGCCACTACCGCCCTCTCGGCCTCCCGCAGCGCCTGGTGTCGGGTCTTCGTAGAGCTCATTGGGGTCGTTGGGGTCTCGCTTCGCCTTTCCATCGGCTTCAGCATGCTCCTCTGCGAACGTCGAGGGGATTCCGTATCGTAAGTCTGGCAGCGGTTTCTGTGGTTGTTGCGACTCTGGGCTTTCGGTGGTGGGGTCGGTGTTCTCACTGGGCGACTTGGGCCCCGACATTTCCTCCTGTTCCGACATCTTAAAGTCCTTTCCGGCATCTTTCGAGGCTTGTGTCGCGCTCTCTACTGGTCTTGAGGGCTGTGTGGGTGTTGTGTTCTTCTCGGGCGCTGATTCTGTGTCGAACTCGGGCTGCTCTGAAGGATTGACCGGGTTGGGCCGCGTTTTGTTGGTCTCGTCGAACTTGATGGGATCTGAAGGTTTCCAGGTGTTGTCTTTTGGCTTGCCGACCTTCGCATATGTGCGCGTCCATTGCGAGGTGGAAGCTATGGGTGTGATGCGCGGCGCTGCCAGTGCAGACCGCATGCGCAGGGCGCGGAAGGCGGTTCTGGGGAGCATGGCGGTAGAAGGGGGAATAGAATACAAATTAAGAAGAAAAGGCGCCTCTAGGAAACATGGGCCGGGCACATGGGGGTCGTGGTGTCGACGGTCCTGCGATGAAATAATTGATGGAGCAGGGCTTGGCGCAATGACGCTGCTCCCTCGCCAGAAATTCGGCCGTGTCGTATGGCAATCGTGGCTTCACCAGTCAAGCAGGAACGCCGAACATGTGGCCCCGCTTAAACACCAACGCCCTCGTCGCCTCCCGCTGCTGACAGACTCGAGTCACATGTCGCCTCACAGGGACTTCTTTGCCCATGCGACTGACTGGAAGGCCTCTGCGGCGACATGCGCCAATGCCCGGAGGAGCACCCTTTCAGCTACTATGCATCCTCCTGCTATGTTTAGGTTGCTGGACGATTCCCGGTTGTGGCATGACCGATGAAGCCATAGCAGAACTGAGGTAACACTGTTGTCTTATCTTGCTATCGATGCATGCTGATTCCGCAGACAAGAGACACGCGACATCTTCTACCATGGTTACGACAACTACATGGAACATGCCTTCCCAGAAGACGAGCTACGACCACTCACTTGCGCACCCCTCACTCGCGATCGCCATAACCCCGCCCATATCGAGGTCAACGACGTGCTCGGAAACTATTCTTTGACACTGATAGACAGCTTGTCGACGCTCGCTATCCTCGCTTCCACGCCCGAGACCGATGCCGCCGGATCCAATAGACCGTTAGAGGATTTCCAAGAGGGTGTTAAGTTATTGGTAGAGAACTATGGAGATGGTTCGTCAGGCCCTCGTGGTCGTGGGACAAGAGCGAGAGGCTTCGATTTGGACAGCAAGGTGCAGGTCTTTGAGACGGTCATCCGCGGCGTTGGTGGGCTGCTCAGCGCACACCAATTTGCAGTCGGGGATTTGCCCATCCGAGGTTACAATGCAAGGACAGAGAGGATGGGAGGTCGTAAAGGGATATTCTGGCCCAATGGATTCGTTTACGATGGACAACTTCTACGGCTTGCTGTAGACCTCACGGATCGGCTGCTGCCAGCCTTCAACACGCCAACTGGCCTGCCGTACCCTCGAGTCAACCTCCGATACGGAGTACCCTTCTATGCGAAATCACCAAATAATATGGACGCCGAGCATGGCCAATGCGGCAGGGACCCAAGCGACAAAGGGACCGAAGTCACTGAGACGTGCAGCGCTGGCGCCGGGAGTCTGGTCCTCGAGTTCTCTGTTCTCAGTCGACTCACTGGCGATCCAAAATACGAAAGGCTGGCCAAAGACGCCTTCTGGGCTGTGTGGCACCGCAGAAGTAGCATTGGGCTTATTGGCGCCGGCATCGACGCTGAGACAGGGCAGTGGGTCAATTCTTACACGGGCATTGGAGCAGGTATTGACAGCTTCTTTGAGTATGCCCTCAAGTCGCATATTCTTCTTTCCGGACTGCCTTTCGACAAAACACGCGAGACTACTGATTCTCCTGAGGCATTTCTTGCTACTTGGCTCGACGCCCACGATGGCATTCGGAGACAGATCTACCGTGGTGCGCAACATCAACATCCTCATTATGCCCAAGTAGATTTGTACACTGGCGCCATCAGGGCCTTTTGGGTCGACAGCCTGAGCGCATTCTATCAAGGGCTCCTGACCATGGCCGGCAAGCTTGATGAGGCTATCGAGACGCATCTGCTCTACACTGCTCTTTGGACCCGCTATTCCGCAATGCCTGAGAGATGGTCAACTGCGACTGGCAGTATTGAGCATGGCCTTCGCTGGTGGGGCGGTCGACCAGAGTGGATTGAATCGACCTGGTACCTCTATCAGGCGACGAAAGACCCTTGGTATCTCCATGTAGGCGAAATGGCGTTGCGCGACATCAAAAGACGTTGCTGGACTAAGTGCGGGTGGGCCGGTCTACAGGATGTACGTACTGGAGAACTGAACGATCGCATGGAGAGCTTCTTCCTTGGTGAAACTGCGAAATACCTTTTTCTGCTTTTCGAACCGTCGCATCCGCTCAATACCTGGGACGCGCCGTTTGTGTTCACGACCGAAGGGCACCCGTTGATCATTCCGAAGAGACTCCGTCCCACTCAGAAGACGCGGCCAGATCCTGATCCAATCCTAGAGGTACCTCAGACATGCCCTCTTCCACCAGCTCTCTTGCCTTTCACTATCTCTCCGACAGCCGCTCGGACCGACGTTTGGCATGCTGCAAGCCTTGCCAGACTACATCTTATGCCAACCATCGAGACGATTGAGTCACCACTCGTCGAGTTCAGTGCCGACCATCCCAGCATTTCTTTATCAGATATACGTTCGCCTTCCAACTACACTTACTATCCATGGACTTTGCCACCCGAGCTCATCCCGCACAACGCTACAAGTTCAGTGCTGGCTGTCAGGACTACCTTTGACCTTTCGTTCCCCAACATGCCAAGCACATCGCTGACAGGTGCGCTCCAAAGAGTGCAGGAAGGCATCTTGGTCAACTCCATGAGTGGGCTGAGACTTGGCATGGTTCGTGAGCAAGACAAGCCACGTACGATACGACAGCAGCTGGATCTGGATGAGCAATTCCGCATCTATGCGATCTCCAACATAGCTCTAGGCCGTGATGAAAAGGTTTTCATGTCTCGTTCGACCATCGACAACTTCAATCCGCTCGACCCGTTCTTCACAAGAACACGAGATGCGCATGCGTTGGACCTGGTCATCGACGTACCGCCGCAGCCTGCACCTGCATCCTCCAAAACGCTGGCAGACCTCCTCAGCGATGCGCTCGGCGAAACAAGCAACCTATCCGACATGGACATTGCCGACGTGATCGATCTAGAAGTGGACCCCGAAGCGCTCGATAGCCAGCCGTCATACCTAGCCACCTTCCTCTCATCGCTCCAAGCACTCCTCTCCGCCCCAGTACCCACATCCACATCCGCAGCATCTCAATCCCAGGATCAATCGGAGCAAACCTTGAAACGTCACTTCTTCCCCGCCGCGCTTCCCACCGGCCCCGGCGCAGCCCCCATGCCCGACACCAAAGACCCAGAAACGACATACAGCCCAGACAACCCACTCGCCTGGTCAAATATCTACGTTCACCCTACAACTCTCTGCACAGACCGTCTTCCGCTCGAGGTCGCGAAAAACCATCAAATTATCGCAATCCCCAGAGGCGATTGCTCCTTTTCGACTAAACTGCACAACATCCCCGCGTACCCACCCGACGCCTCTTCCCTCCAACTCGTCATCATTGTCAGTTTTCCCGAGCACGAACCCAACGAGGATAAGCATATTGCCGATACCGACGCTGCGACGCAACAACCCCCTGTGCAGCCGCTGTTGGATGATCTACAATATACCCCAACCGGCATGCTACGACCCAATCCCATTCCCATGATCATGGTGGGAGGGGGGGAGGAGACAATGGCGTTGCTGAGGAGGGCGACTGGAGTAGGTGTGAGACGGAGGTATTACTTTAGGAGTCAGGGTGTCAAAATTGGGAACCTAATCGTGCTCTAACGGATCGTATGACATGAGTCTACGCGGGAGTGGAGGGATCGTGGGCGTTCGTGTAAATAGAAAGAAGTACAGATCACTGCGTTTGCAACCTGAATCAAGATTCGCACTCTGGCACAGTTCTGGAAAGTGTAGCCTACACTATTCACATGGCTAGAGCATAAAAAGTATCTAGACAATTAGATTAGGTTCAACAACTTTGGTCTGCATTCGAGGTTGTATTCTCACCATCTACAAACACCACATTGTCACTCTTGCCCATCCATCTCACACACACGCACACTCAAAGCCCATACAAAAACGTCATCTTCGCATCCGCATACCTCGCCCCATCCAGCCTCTCCGCCTCAACAGCCTGCACGCTCTTCCCCCTCCTCCACGCCACCTTCCTCCTATTCACTTTCACCAGAATAAATCTGTACGCCATATACCCCAGCAACGCCGCAACCACAAACCCCAACGTGCCATAAAACGGCTCCAGATACCTCGGCGCATACTTCTTCCGATACAACTGCGCGCCCACCACACCAGCGAGATTACCGAAGCCGTTGACGCCCAGGACGAGTGAACGTTTGCCCGGCTCGGGGTTGTTGCCGCTGAGCCAGGCGACGGTTAGGGGCGCGGAGATGTAGGAGCCTGAGAGGAGGATGCAGAGGCCGGCGTATTGGGCGGAGTGGGAAGGTGCGGTGACGGTGATGATGAGGCCAAGGAGCGAGATGAAGATGCCGGTTATGATGTGGTAGCCGCGTTCTTTGCGGTGGTCGGATGATAGGGCGAAGAGGTAGAGACCGATTGCGCCGCAGACGAAGGGGGGAACGGACATCTAAGCGTTGTTTATGTTAGCTTGTCATCCCAAAATTTGAGCATATGTGTTATGGGTTTGAGCTTCAGTGTGTGAACATACCAAATTCGCATCCAAACTCGAATACCCCAACCCCTGCACCACCATGGGCAGGAAAACCGAAAAAGCCTGACTAGGCACACTCGCACAGATATTAAAAAACAGCAAGAACCACAACTTCCAATCTTTTGCCGTCTCCTGCGCATCACGCTTCGTCAGCCTCTCCCTCTCCACTCCATCCCTTCCAAAATCATGCGAAGTCCACGCAGAATTATCCTTGATGATGCGCTGAACAGCGAAGACTTGCTCTTCGTGGCTGAGAAACCATGCGCTACCTGGTCCGGCTGGTAACCAGAACCACGCGAGTATGGCGATGAGGATTGTTAGACTGCCTTCGATGATGAAGAGGTACTGCCAGTTATGCAGACGTGTGTTGTTGAGGTGGAAGATACCGAATGCTTGGATCCGTATTAGCATATATGACATACAGTACGGGATTACTGAACAAGGCAAGGGTAAACATACCAATAGACCCCGAAAACGCGCCGGCAATAGCGTATTGGCCGTAGAAAAGACCAATCCTAACGGCCATGTCGTAGCGCCCGTAGAAGGTGGAGAGGTACGCGATGGCTGTGGGGTAGAAGCCTGCTTCGAATGCTCCGATCATCAGGCGGACGGCGATGAGGCGGCCGGGGCCGCGGATGAAGGCGTGGGCTAGGGTGAAGATACCCCATCCGATCTATCTTTGAGTATCAGAAATGCCAGGGTGAAAATAACGATATTGTAGGCTTGCCATTATAATAGTAATCCAATGCTTTGCGCCCAGCCATCTCCCCACCGCCGCCGACGGAGGCTGGAGTAACACGAAAGTGACGAAGAAGAGCGAGACTGCCAAGTTGAGATCGTCCGGAGTTGCGCCGATGTCTTTTGTGAACCCTGCATGTAAGAAGTTAGGAGAACCGTTCCTTTGGTGTTCGTAGGATCAGCATGTAATGGGTTGATCTGATCGATCTAAACATACCTTGCGTCTCCGCATTCCCAACATTCGATCGATCTAATCCATTGAACAGGTACAACAGGGACAGGAAAGGTAAAAGTGCAATGTCCATTTTTCGGTTCACGCGACTCGACATGGAACGCTCCTCTGGGCCAGGGGCTTCCTCGTCTGTCATTGTTGGAGCTTGGTTTTCCAAGTTGACCGTAGAACTCATGACTGTGGATTTGCTGCTGCTGCTGCGAACACAAGTGGAAATAAGAGGATCTCTTTCTTCTCTAGTAGTAGAAACCATAGTAAAGGCAAGTTCCGCGCGATCAAGTGGCCAAGCTTGCCCTAGATAAAAGACGCCCTTGACCATTTTCCTCATTCACATGTACGTAATTGCTTTGGTGAGGCTCTTCAGCTCCCCAGGACCCTAGTCTCTGGCCTCCCGTGACCCATTGTCGATATGTTACCGCTTCTTTTCACCCCATTGAATTTGTCCGATCAAAGGGTGGTTATACAGCTTGGCCTGCAGGAGCCTCTAGATCGAAGCGTGCCGGGCTAAGCTTGGCCAATCGGAGCCCACCGCGCAAGGTGCGACCCCTGCTCGCCGGGTGGGTTTCGACTATGACACCTCGGGGCGAGAGCCAAACGCTGTTTTTGCATATGGTTGCTTATCTCGACAAGAGTGGTAAAAGGGCTTTCGTGGAGGCAAAGCTGAATTGGATATGATGACATCGTCTACTGTCATCGAATGGCCGTCGCGATAATACGGAGTAATGGAAACTTCTCGAAATGATCTTCCCTATGCCCTCGCCGCGCGGCAGCTCGAAGCAGGAACTTTATGCACTACACGTGCCGTTACCAAGTTCTTGTCTCGTTTATCGGTTATAGCGTCGACCGGCCCTTGGTGGCCCAGCAGCCAGCAAGGTGGTAAGAGCTACTTGCCTTCGGGCGTTTCCTCATCAGTGTCACTGCAGTGGCGTGATTGGTTGTACAGTCCGCGGGCATAAGAGGGCGCCGCGGGGAGAATAAGGTTTCTGATTAATGACTCGTCCGGGTAGCATTCCCGGTGGATGAAGTCTGTTTCAAATGAGTAAGCTGTTATGTAGCTTCAATCCGTCACTCTGCATCCAGGTTCGTAACTCTTGGTACACAGTGCCAGCTGTGGTGTTCAATGGGTTTCCTTGAAGTTCTGCGCCTCGTTGCGCATTGTACTGCGTTCCGGGAGTGTTGATGACGAGACCGGGGTCGTTGCTTTGCTCGAAGTGGCCATGACCATGGGAGAGGTAGCGGTCAACGAGAGCTTTGAGATCTTGCAAGACTTTGTAACAGTCTCTGGGGTAGTTAGTACCGGTTCGTGACTCCTCCTCGAAGGTGCGCATCGCAAAGTCTATCTCCAGGGTGTACACGGGAGTGTTAAGCGCGGTAGCCGTGGGTGCAGTGCTGGAAGAGTGGAGAATCTGATCTAGTATCAAGATAACAGCTGCGTTGAACACGAAGTGTAGACCGGCTTGCAGCAGCTTCCTTGTAGATCGTAATCGCTTGGCTAAAAGCAAATTTCGCTGGGCGGCCTCTGGACAGGCCTGAACATATTTGCTGTGTGCATGTTGCTGCACAGACCACGAGCCATTCATATAGCGTTCAGCCACGGCTTGCTTGACAGCGGCCAGGAGGATGGGCCGAGTCGTGAGGACGATGAGTTGGTTGTAAGCTAGATGGAGGGACAGAACCGCGGGGTCAGCGTCAACGTCGATAGCTAGCACCGGCGGTAGGTTGAGCTTCCAGTTTTCGAGTTGATCCAGAGCCTTGTCTACATTCAAGGTCGAGTAACCTCGTTGGTAGTGTCGTGGAGCGATCTTGAACGTCTCGCAGACGATGTAGCCCGAGATGCGTGACAACTCTACGTGTGCTCGGAGACCTGCACATGGCGGCATTGAGCTGGGAAGTTTAGCGGACGCTCTCATATTTACATGTGTAAGATACTTACGGCACATCGCATGGTAGAGGCAGCCTTATAGCTTCATCAAGTAGAGTTGGCGGGCGCCCCATCAGCACAGAAAGCCATCTGTCTAATATGTAAAGAGTCCAGAATGTGCGTTTGCTCGCTTCATCATTGCAAGACCTGAATGCACCATGTATAATGGCAATGTGAATCGCTAAACTGACCTGGAGATTGTAAGTGCGTGTCTTGTATGCAGTGCTTCAGTCTCTCTTACATATACGTATGCTGCATCTCTGCGGTTCAGCTCGATGAGATAGAAACCCATAAGAGTCAATACAGGGACATCGTCCAGGGTGAATCGCACGGTATCTAACGGATTCCCGAGGAGCTTTCGTGCACGCTTGAAGTACGCCTCTCCCGCATGCTGGTCTGAGCGTCGGGAAGACTGGTGACCAAAAGACGTAGCTAGGGCGAAGCAGACATGGTAGAAGGCTAAGCCTCGGTGAGTGTCGTCTGTCGTCATTGAACTCAGCAAGACGGAAGGAGCCGCAGACGTAGGGAACTGGGTGAGATCGCCCCACCCTGGGTGAAGATTAGTGAAAGCACAGTCAACCATTCCCGCATAGCTTACAGTATATTCCGCCAGACAGAAACTCGCCATTGCCGTCCTGGATGTAGGCTCGCAGTTGGGCAAGCATCAATGCCATGTCGTCCTGGTCCGGAAGCCATAACGGGTCCACGCTTGGATTGGGGATTGGTCGCGAGTCGTATGTCTGATAACGTCCAATTGATGCAACAAATGAAGACCCATCCGCCGACTCGGGCTGGAAAGTCAGAGGAACCAGCGTAAGCATGAATTGCTTTAGGTAATCCAGGAACGTTGCTCCAGACGTTTCACCGAAGAATCTCGGGGTGCCACAAGGGTCGACAAGCAGGCGGCCATCGTTCGTGTCGGCTTGATCCAGCTCCATTGAGACGGAAAGAAAAGTCGGCGCGGTCGAACGCGTTCCTGGCCCGCCATGGTCGAGCTGTCCAATGATCTCGGCGGCCTCTTCAGGTGCAGCGATTTTGAACCCTGTCTCGAGTGCTGCACAACGCGCTCGCAAGCGTTCGAGCTCGTCTTTGAGAGAGTGCTTATCTGATTCTGGTGCTGGGTACTCGCATTCGCGTGAGGTTTTGCTGCATCGTTGACACGGCTGCTCCCCCGAGCACCGAACTCGACGAACGTTGCACGCGTT